TGCAAGGCAGGACCAGCTGGGAACTATCTTAACCTGAGAACAAAAAATTAAGACCTGCAGCCAACATCTTTATAATGGGAAAAGGATTACTTCTCTCCTAAAACCAGGAACAAGACAAGAATGTCCACTCGACACTTTTTTCAAGAGTTCTACAAATTCTAAACCAAGAAATAAAAGATACACGGGTGTAAAGAAGAAAGAAAAATGTCCTGATTGGTAGGTGACATGACCAATAAATAGAAAAGCCCAAACAAGAAACCCTCCAAAAACAAGTGAGTTATAAGCAAAGTCACAGAACACAAGTAAACACACAAAGCAACAATTAACATGCAGACACTAAAACCACAATACCATTTACAATCATTCCAAAAAGCCAAACCCTTCAATAGAAACCTAAGATGTAACAGAACCCATGTGCTGAAAGTAATCAACAGATGAGAGAAATCACAGATGTTAACAACATGGAGAAAAGTTCCGTGCTCAAGGATAGAAACACTGAACAGAGCCCAAAAGTAATTCTCAGGCTGGGGATGGAAGCTGGGTGGTAGAGCACACACTCAGCCTGTGGTGTGTGATACCTGCATTCAACACCCAGCAACACCCAGAAAAAAAAAAAAGATTAAATGCTTCTCCAGTTGATATAAAACCCCAAGCACAATCCCAACAAGCTCATTTTGCAGACAAGTTCATTCTAAAATGCAGTTGGAATAGCCCAGACTTAGAGCTGCTACTGGTCTGGAAGAAATCAATTGCTAAGAATCATTCTACTGCCACTAATACTTCCCAGGCAGCCACAGAGACCCACAAGGTGTGACACTGGCAGAAAGCCACCCAAACAAGCATACACAATTCTTGATAAAGATGCAAATGTACTTGAATGAAGAGTCTTTTCGGCAAAAAGACCCTAGAGTAATTAGATACTTAGCTACAGGTAAAAAATAAACTTTAGCCGGGCACTGGTGGCTCATGTCTATAATTCAACATTAAGAAGGAGGACCTCAAGTTGGAAGCCAGCAAGGGCTATACACAGTGGAAGAGGGAAGGAAGGAAGAGAGGAGGAAGGAAGAGGGAAGGAGGGAAGAAGGGAGGGAGGGAGGGAGGAGGGAGGGAGGGCTCAGAGCACCTTTAATCCTAGCAGTCGGAATTGGAAAGCTCCCAGCTGCCTTTCAAAGATGACTGGTTAAGCAGAGAATGAGCTGACAATACACTAAAGAACCAGGGAAGCACAGGGGAAAAGCACATCCCAAAAGGCAACAGACACCTGTTAGATTCAGCGCCCAAGTTATTCCTGAACCGCAAGGTGGTTTCACATCAGAAAAGCAAGCAGTGTCATGTTCCACTCTAGCAGACGAAGGAACAATGTGGTGATCTCAATGAAGAAAAGGCATTTGGTACAAATGACTGTTCATGATTTTAAATGTTTTAATTTTAAAACACACCTGAAGGGAAAAGTATCAAGTGGGACAATTTGTCCTGTAAGTTAGCCAGCCTCAAGCTGGGCACCAGTGGCTCACATTTCTAACCCTAGCTGCTCAGAGGCTGACAGCTGGAGGTCAGCTCCACAAACCACCCAGAGATGAGCAGCAGCAGCCACAGCCCCGACAGGGCCAGGTCTATCTGGAAGTCCCATCAGGAGGCTTCAACAGAAGGGCAGCGAGGGACAGGATGGAGTGGAAGAGAGGCTGAGAACATCAAACTGAAAAACCTCTAGCTAGACCCAAGACAAACAGGGTAAGGCTGTAGGCTCTCAGTTCTCTTTCACGTGCTGCGTGACACCCGGTGAAATCATCTTTGAGATCCATCCCACCCCAGTGAGTGCACGTGTAGCTGAGGTAGAGCAGACAACTGGGCACCAAGCTAGAACTCTGCTCTGACCCAGGCCCACCCCAGGACTCCAGCCTCCCTTCCTTCTAGAACAGGGGATCCTGTTTCCTCTACCTCACAGAACAGTGAGCTCATCCAAAAGCCCAGGCTAGCAGCCTGAAGAAACGATTTCAGTTAGGGCAGGGGCACAGTCTGGCACCCCACGCCATCCTGTATTTGCACATGCCCTGATAGAAATGGTAACCAGCAGGCTGCCCCAGACAATCAGACCAGATGAGAGGCGGGACAAACTATGCCCAATTGTCCTGCCACCCAAATGTGCTGTGGTGACCCCAACCCCTCCCCCACCTGCCTCAGAAAGTGCATAGACACACAAGAGATACAGAAGATTCTGTCAAGGGATTTTACATTTTACTTCTGTACTCTCTCCCAAGAGCTGCAGAGGCACACCAGGTGGGGGGGTGCTCTGCTCCATTTTTATTCTAACCTGGGAGTGACCTTGTCCCTTCTCCTTGTTGCTAAGGAGCTCATCTTTTCTTTACAATTGGCTACCAGGGGCATGAGATAATACAAGGAAGTTAGGAAGCACTGTAACCATCAGTGAAAGGTTCCTAACTGGGGCAGCAGGAGGGCGGGGCTGTCCTTTTTGGAGGCAAAGGCTGAACTGGCAACAGTTGAAGGAGGTTGGTAAAGTCAGTGGAAAGCTCCCACTCTCGGAGGGGGGAGGAGGGTCAATTCTTTAACTCCACGGACAAAGATTTATATACCAGGCATGACTGGCTGGTCACCAACACCACACTTAGGGGAACTTTTTTTTTTTTTAAGAGCACATTTTAGGCTTCTGGTTCTCTGGCTTCCAAGTGGCTCTGAGGCACCAGCAGGTGTCTAGAGAGAGGAAAGGAGGGAGGTCAATCTCCAATTGGGAATTCCTCCCTGATTCTTGACCAAATTCAACAGTTGGGGTAACAAATCGCTCTCTTCATCCCTTCAGGACCGAGTAAAGGTGGACACGAGGACCCTGGCCATGCCTGTATAAGCACGGTCATCTCTTTATTGGCCACGGTATCCTCATAGGAATTTACCAACTTCCGACGAGGTCTCTAGATTGTTTCCACGGGAGGTTAATACCGCTGCCACCTTCAAAAAGTGCAAGCTGAGAATCCACGCTACCAGCAGGTGCCAAGCACAGGGTTAGATTTACGACCTCATTCCGCAGGGATGAGGAAGCCACGGCTCAGTGAAGGTCAGAAACGTGCCCCAAGAGCGAATGAATCAGCTAGCAAACCATCCATCCACCTTCGGCTACGGAAACCCTGACCTTTCCGTTTCTCTCTCTCTCTCTCCCTCAGTCTCCTTTCCTGCCACGCCATTATTTGATCAGCGTCCTTGTGCCTAACGAGGAAAACAAATCCCTCACGAATGTCAGACTTTTATTCATTTCGACTGTTCGGACACGGTGTGCTGAAGGGTGGGAACTCTGGGGGGTGGGGGGGAAGTAGTTAGTGAGGCCCCCCCCCCCATCTCAGCAGATGCAACAGTGGGCGTGGTGAGGACACTCTACAGATCCCAAGAGAGGCCAGGGACAGCAGGGTCGCAGTTCGGATCCAGCCCTGAAAACCTGAGGCCTTAACTCCGGACCTGCTGCGGGCGCGGCCCGCGTGGGGAGCGCCCGCCCCGCAAGCGCGCGGACACCCGTGTGCCCCCCCCCCGCGCCCACCTGCTCCTCCAGCCTCTCGATCTCCAGCTGGTTCTTCTCCTCCTCTTCCTCCAACTCCCACTCCCCGGGAGAGTTCTCCCCGTCGCCATCGCTCTCGCTCTCGCCTTCCTCCGGCTCGTCCCAGGCCAGCTCCAGCGTCATCAGGTCGCTTCTCTTCCTGGCCGCCTTCGCTTCGTTCACGTCCTCCTCCTCCTCCTCGGCCTCGGGCTCAGCCTTAGGCTCGGCCTCGGGCTCCGCAGCGGCGGTAGCATGGGCCGCCGTCGCCATCTTGCGTCTACAGCGACTGCCAGGGTCCTTCCCCTTCCAGCGAGGACCCGCGGACGGCAGGCTGCCCGCGGCGCGCGCCTGACCCAAAACCCGCCCCCGACGCCCGGAGGGAGGCCGGAGATCGGCTCACTGGGAAATCACCAATGTCACGCGGTCCCTAATATGTTTACATACTTCGAAAGGCCTCAGTCAGGGGGGAAAAATAGCTCCTTAACACAGCGTGTGTTCAGGCACAGCCTCGGACAGAGGTCGGGTCTTTGCACCGGAAGTGGAGGCCAAAAGAGGAAGTCGTGCAGTAAACGGGATGTCTGCAGGAAAGGGCTTTACGCCATCTTGGGAAGGTCAACGTGATTCTTGGAAAACAACGTACAGAGGCCTGCAGGGGCCTTAAGTGTGTGGTTCCGTTTCCCAGCTACCGAGCTCCCGTAGACGGAGCAAAGTGCAAGTCCCCGGGGAAGGAGCGAACGCTCGAGTCCTGGGAAAACGCTGCTTCCCGATCGGCTGCCTCTGCAGTTGCTACCTAGACGTCCAGCGCACGCAGTTTCCCCGGCTTTATGGGACCATATTCCCAGGCGAATACTGTCCTCAATGATACTACGTAAGCCTTGCTTTAGGAATTCGTGACGTCGTGCGTTGACGCGCACGTTTCCTAAATGGCTTGCGGCTGCCTGTTGAAGAATGACTCCAGACCAGGGCATGCAAAACAAATCGCTGCTACAACAAGAAGCATGGCGCTCGCTTTCTCGGTTATTGTTTTGGTGGGAAAGCATCGTGGCGTCGGCCTCCTGCCTTCCTCCCTCGGCCGCGGGGTTGTGTCCGCTTTGCCTCCCGCGGGCCCCGGGAGGCCGGTGGGGGCCGTGTTTGCTCCGCGGGTGAACCCTCGCCGGGTCCGACCTCCGCTCTCAACTCCAGCTTCCACCACTGCAAAGTCGTCACGAAAGGCGGCCCCGGCATTTCAGGCCTAGCGGACGCGACCCCGGGTCCTGCGGCTCCCAGGCAGGACCCAACGCGCAGGACAAACCCTCCCGCCCTTTGAAGACTGTCCCGCTCGGCGCCCCCCCCCCCCCCCGCCACGCCACGCGTGGGGGCGTGGTCAAGGCCGGACCCGAAGGCACGCAGCCCTGAGGCCAGAGTGCGCAGGCGCAGCGCTCCGGTGACGTCAGAGAGACTCGCCGGTCCGCCCCTCCCGACGAGGTCGCTCGAAACTGACGACGCAGGTGCGGGCCGGCAAGATGGCGGCGGCGGGAGCGGGCCGGCTGCGGCGGGCGGCGTCCGCGCTGCTGCTCCGCAGTCCGCGCCTGCCGACCCGAGAGCTCTCCGCTCCGGCCCGGCTGTATCACAAGAAGGTACGGGCAGGCCAGGGGTGCGCGGGACGCTGAGGCGGCCAGACCCCGGGCGGGCCCCTGGGCCGGGAGAGGCGGCCGGCTCCCCCCGGTCCCCGGTGCCCGCATAACGGCGACCGCAGACGCGGGCGGCGAGCGCCGCCGGCCCTGCCGCCGTCCGCCGCCCGGTGGTGCTGACTCGGGACCCGCTGGCCGCCAGGGGGGAGGTCCCGTGACACTTGTCACCCCGGGTCCGGCGACCTTCGCCGCCGCCACCGCCCCGCGGCCCCGGCGAAGTGAGCCGGGCCGGCCACGCCGCCTCCCTAGGCCTGTCTGCCCTCCCCCCCGTGTGAAAGCGGGGTTCAGCCGCTCCTGGGCCTGTTCCCCATCCCCCCCCTGTGAAAGCGGGGTTCAGCCACGGCCACCACCCCCCCCCCCAGGCCTATCCCGGACCTCCGTGTGAAAATTGAGTCCGGCTGTCTGTCCCCTGCAAGAGATACGGCGCGGTGCCCGTCACACTCTTAGCCCCTTGTGGAAGCCCTTTTGTGGCAATGTGATCGTTTTAGGAGCGCAGAGCCCCCGAGAGGATTCAGACACACCAACAACAGGCATAAAGTTTGGATTTTCCTCTTGTTTGCGGGGGTGGGGGGGGGGGTGGGGAGGGGGGGGGAACAAGAGTGATAGGTAGTTTGTGGCCCCTTGCCTACCGGGGCCGTTAAAGTCAATAGATGGGGAAATCCACTTGGGCAGCAGTTAAAAATGAAGTGAATCAGCTATTAGTAAAAACTACAGGGTTGGGAAGGTGGCTCAGTGGTGGAGCGCTTGCCTAGCATGCATGAAGCCCTGGGTTCTATTCCTCCGCACCACATACACAGAAAAGTTGGAAGTGGCTCAAGTGGTAGCGTGCCAGCCTTGAGCAAAAGAAGCTCAGGGACAGTGCCCAGGCCCTGAGCTCAAACCCCAGGACTGGCAAAAAAAACGACAACAACTACAGATAGCACATTGTAAGTGCCTAAGAGAGGCTGATCTGTGGTCAGTTGGGGAGAGGGAAGCTCACTTCTGATAGATGGGCAAACCCCAGGGTTATTAGAGCCTTGCCTGTGTCTGTTTTCATGGTGTTTATTCAGTGCTGGCTGTTGTTGACCTGACAACGCCAAGGGAACCTGGACTTCCAGGCTTTGAACACCAGGGGGCGCTGCAATGCAGCAGTGGTGCTGTTTGTTTTCAGAGCCTGATTGCCTAGAATTGCTTGTTTTGTAACAGTCACCTTGAAGCTTCTAAGAAAGCCTTCTGTTCCTGGGACATACTGACTCATGGGATTCTTTAGATAATCATTCTTTTCTGAGAATGGATTTGATCTGGAAATAACACAAATGGTGTTGGAGCCAAATCTGGTGAGGTAGGTGTTTTTTAAAAAGTCAAGTGATTGTTTCTGGTTGACAGCTCTGAACCATAACACAAATGGTGTTGGAGCCAAATCTGGTGAGGTAGGTGTTTTTTAAAAAGTCAAGTGATTGTTTCTGGTTGACAGCTCTGAACCGAGACAGGCTTTCCCTGATGGTTTGAGGATTTGTTTTGGCCCTGATCTCAAGAAGCGCCTCCAGTCTCTGAAGTAGTTGGAGGAGTCCAGAAAGAGTTAGGGGTCACCACGGTTCTCTGCCATGAATGTAGGCCTCCCTGCCCTGCCAAGTTCAGGGTGTTGACTTCAAGGAAAGCCAGAGTGGTAATCATGAATTCTCTTCACCCCGTGGTTTCAGGTTGTGGATCATTATGAAAACCCTAGAAATGTGGGCTCCCTGGACAAGACATCTAAAAATGTCGGCACAGGCTTGGTGGGTGCTCCGGCATGTGGAGACGTCATGAAATTACAGGTGCAGCCCATTCATCTGTTTTATCTTCAGTGGTGGTAACAGTGGTCCCTCTCCCACCCAGTGCTTCCTAATGGTCTTGCACGTAAAGCATTTCACTCCATCTCCCAGCTCTGTTCCCCTGAAGTGGAATGAGTCAGTGTAAGATACTAGCCTCAGTACCAAGGCCCAGCTCTGTGCTGGCTTCCCAGTTTCAATTCCTCCTTCAAAGGAAATCTCCAAATGGAACAAGATAAAACAGGACCTCTCTCAGACTTGAAGTGATTGAAGGTAGAGAAGAGTGGTTTGTGTAAGCCAGAACTGTATATGCACAGTCTCCTTTATGGTATGTGGGCAGCTCACCAGAGGAGGTCCTTGTACCTACTTTGGACAATAGAAATAGGGCAGAAGTGCAGTTTGGTGCCCAAGAGAAAAGAACTCACCAGAGCCCTTGCTTGCAGGCTCTCGCAGTTTGCCGCAGCAGCTATGAGGAGACCTCCTCAGAATTCACCCAAACAGCAACGGGGCCACAATCAGAACAGGGGGTGGGGAGGGGCCATGTTATTTTCCAGCTGATCTTACCTCTGTGGTTCTAGGTTTCATTTCTCATCACTGAGCTCTTTAGAGAAAGCAACAGAATTGAATGCGTACTTTATAGTGGGAACAGCCAGCCTAGAACTCATATGGGTGTGCCCATATGTGTGCCAGGCTCCTGGCTTCCAGGAGGCAGCCCCAGGAACAACCACTCAACGTGTATCTCTCTTCTAGATTCCCCTTAACGCTTGTCTGTCTTCTAGATTCAAGTGGATGAAGACGGCAAGATTGTGGATGCCAGGTTTAAAACATTTGGCTGCGGTTCTGCAATTGCCTCCAGCTCCTTAGCCACAGAATGGGTGAAAGGGAAGACGGTAAGGTTATTCATGAGGATGATGGAGCTAAATGGCCTTCTTGGCAGTCTCACTGCCTCTCAGAGAGGCTTGTGAGAAAAACACCAACCTAAAAGGTCGAGGCAGGAGGACTGTAAGTTGAAAGCCAACTCAGGCTCCACAGCAAGATCCTCTCTCAAAAAAGAAAAATAGGAGCCAGGCACCAGTGGTTCACACCTGTAATCCTAGCTACTCAGGAGGCTGAGATCTGAGGATCACAGTTCGAAGCCAGCTGAGGTAGGAAAGTTAGTGAGACTCTTATCTCCAATAAACCACCAGAAAACCACAAGTGGTGCTATGGCTCAAAGTGGAAGAGTCGGGGCTGGGAAGGTGGCTCAGTGGTGGAGCACTTGCCTTGCATGCATGAGGCCCTGGGTTCGATTCCTCAGCACCACGTAAGCAAAAAGAAAAAAGCTGGAAGTGGCACTGTGGCTCAAGTGGTAGAGCGCTAGCTTTGAGCTGAAGAGCCGAGGGACAGCTCCTAGGCCTAGAGTTCAAGCCCCACGACCCAACCCAAAAAAAAAAAGTGGAAGAGCCTTGAGCAAAAGAGCTCAGGGACAGTGCCCAGGCCCTGAGTTCAAGCTCCACAACCAACAAAAGGAAAATAGTAACCATGACTTCTTCAAAATACTGTTTAAAACATTTTAATTTCTCCCTACTCAGATGAGTTATGTCTTTCCCCTTTAAAAGTTTTTGGGTTTTTTTACCCAGGTGTTGATGCTGTTTCTCACATCAGAATTATGGACCAGCTTGATGTTGTTTCTCACATCAGAATTATGGACCAGCTTGTTAGGTGTTGCTGCAGCTTTTGATTGGTCATTTTCATTTGTTCAGGGGTTGGACAGTGTTTTACCAATTACACAGGAAAAAGATCCTTGCATGTCCCTCTGACAAAACAGAATAGAAAAGAAACCCTGGCATTCTTTAAGTTGTTGATGTTCTTGAAGTTTCTCAAGAGTCCAAGTGTGGCCCTCGAGAGAGAAAGCCTCCCCCAAGGGCTCCTCTTCCCTGTCTCTTCCCCCTATCCAACAGGTGGAGGAAGCCTTGACCATCAAAAACACGGATATCGCCAAGGAGCTCTGCCTGCCCCCCGTGAAACTGCACTGCTCCAGTGAGTGCCCCCCCCCCCCAGCCGCCAGTAACACAAATCACAGGGTCCTTGTAGTTATGTGGCGTTTGTAACCCGTATCACCGGGAGAGAAGTCAGTCTTGATAGCCATCTGCAGGGTAGAGCCCCGTGGTATCAAGCCAGGGACGCATAGAGTCCTGCTGGGAGGGGGGTGTGCCAACTGACTAGATGATATCCCCTGGGAGGCTTGGCGGTGGCCTATGACCCCCCCCCCCATGGGGGGTGGAGGAGCAGGTGTTCAGGTAAAGGCACTGTATCACACAGCTGATAAGTAGGGGAGGCAACAAGCCCAGCATGGACATGACTCCACGTCCCCACAGCTGACGAGAACTGGCTTTTCTTCCATTCCTGCTCAAGATCCTTTCCCTGTCCCAGCAGGAAAAGCAGGACCATCTGGTTGTTAGGAGAGACAGTATTATATCCCAAGATACAGAACTAGCCAGAACCCCAGCCCCAGCCTGTGCCCCCAAAGCCACCCAGCCAGGTTAGGCCCTGGCACAGGTGTACCTCCAAGTGGAACAAGATAAAACAGGAGGTTCACAAGAAACCTCCCTGGGCCACACCCCTAGAATCTAAGCCTAGGCTGTCTTCTGTTCCTTTCAGTGCTGGCAGAAGATGCAATCAAAGCTGCCTTGGCTGATTACAAACTGAAACAGGAAGGCCAAGGAGAGACAGAGAAGAAGTGAGCGGGTGGGGCTCCGGCCAGTCAGGCAGCCACACCCCACCCTGCACACCCACCTAGACGGGCATTCACCCAGATGCCCTCGGAAGCTGAGACGCACACAGTATCTGCCATTCACATTGTCACTGATGCTAGCAAAATACACTCTCAATTATTCTGAATCCCATGGTTTCTTTCAGCATATTCGGATGGCCTTAATGCACTTGGTGTATATTTTGAATTCTGTATATGGGTTCAGAACTAGAATCAGTACTGGAGTCATAAATTTTGATAACCTGAAAAGTGCATAAATATTTAATCTAACCTCAGTCTATTTGAGGGAAGATTATCAGCAGAATGCCTTGGTTTGATTGTTTGATAGGACTAGTTGTACATAGAGCAGATCTGCATATATATATATACACACACACACATATATATATATAATAATAAAAGAATGTAATGTAAGATGGCGGCTTCTGTCTCTTGCCCCCCTCACTCACCTCCAAGTGCTGCCCGCCCTCCCCTCCCCCCAGGTGAACCTGGCGACCTGCGTGGCTTTCCATGAGGATTTTCACACCGATGGCGAAAGGCAGAGGTCACTGCGCACTCCACTGGAGTCCTGAAGGTTTTTGTTGTCATTTCACCAGTGTGTGTGAGATCTCCAAAACACTGGCTGAGATGATGCCACAAACCTGGGGACCAAACACCAGGAGTCCTTAGAGGATGGGGAATGCAGAGGCACAGGCCCTGGGCTTTGCCTTGGTCTGGGTGGGTGGTGGTGCTACCCCAACTTCAGAGAGCCTCCTGGGTTTGGTGCAGTTGCAGGTGAGCCAAGCCGCCACAAAGAGGAAGCAATCTGTTCTCCTGCTACATACACAGTGCCCAAGAAAATTTTGTTGTTGTGGTTTGGTTTTTGTTTTGTTTTTGTCAGTCACGGGGCTTGAACTCTGGGCCTGGGTGCTGTCCCTCAGCTCTTCAGCTCAAGGCTAGCGCTCTACTTGAGCCACAGTGCCACTCCCGGTTTTCTGGGTGTTAATTGGAGATAAGAGTCTCAGGGACTTTCCTGCCCAGGCTGGCTTTGAACTGTGATCCTCAGATCTCAGCCTCCTGAGTAGCTAGGATTACGGGCATGAGCCACCAGCACCTGGCCCAAGGAAGTTGCTTAACCTTCATGGCTGCCTCTGGCCTACAACCATGTGTTCTATGGTAACTCGGCCTGCAAAAGCCCCTAGCATTCCAAGCTCCCACATCAAATCTCACCAAAGGAGGCCATTTCCCAGTGAAAAAACCATAGTGAACCTCAAAAGTATGTTTGTGTGTTCTGGCAGTGGCTTTTTTGTTCAAGCACAAGCTTCTAAAATATACCTCCTTTGTTTAAAAAATACTTTTTTTTTCCTTAATGCTCTGAGTGCTGGTTGAAAAACACCAGACTTCAAAGGCCGCTGTCCCCAGTGTGGGGGACCACAGACCAAGGCAGCTCAGAATCTCAAATTAGAAGCTTGGGTGGACCCATGGCAAATGGTCCCGCGTGGTGTCTGCTTTGTAATTCACGGGCCGGCCTCCACACTGGGCCCATCCCGTGACGTGTGGCAGCACCGCAAGTCCCCACTTGGCCTTGTCATTTGAGAACAAGACATTTCTGTCCTGCCTAAGGTTCCTGAAAGTTGGACTGAATTCCCCAGTGTAGTCCTCCCTCGCGCACACTGGTGTGAGGGCAGCTGGGAAGAAGGGCTGTTTTTTTTCTTTTAACTCATATTAGACTTTTTCTGGGTAGGTCCACTGCGGGCCATGCAAGGGCCAGGTGCCTTTCACTGAGCTCAAATTGGGATTTTTGCCGTCACCCAGGGGGCGGGTCTTGGCACCTCCATGTGGAACCCCCGTGGGGGGTCTGGGCAGATGGGCTGTCAGGGGCCCGTGCACAGCCCTGTGCTGTGCCAGGCCCTGACATTTATAATCTCTTACTTCTCACAGCTGCCCTCTGAGGTGGACAAAATTCCAAACTAGGCTCCAGCTGAGGGCTAAGAGTGGGCTAGGAGCCCACCCTTCTGCCCTTCCCATGTGCTCTGGGCACAGAACACAGTCCAGCCTTGCCCTGAACATTGTCATGAAGGTGGGGAGCCCTCCCCCACAGGGGGAGGTCCGCACCCCAACCACGGACCCTTCAATCTGACCCTCATCCCCAGAGGGGTGGGTGGTTTATAGGGAGATGGACAGACAAGAAACGGGCTCACAGAGATGAAATGACTCCCTGCACATGCAGCTAGGGTGGGGCCCCGCTGAGATGGCTCTGCCCGCCTCCCCCACCCCACTCGCTTCACCTTCCCCGGCTGTCAAGCCTCAAGTTAGGATCACATCAAAGCGCATGGCTTTAGAGGCCCACATGCAGCCACACTGTGCACAAGCTGTCTCCCGGGCATCACCCCTATAATCCTAGCTACTCAGGAGGCAGAGGACCATGATTTGAAGCCAGCAGGGCAGAAAAGACCACAAGATTTCATTTTAATTAGCAAAAAGGCTGGTGGCGTGGCTCAAAGTGGTAATGTGCCAGCCAAGCAGGTCCCAGGTCAAGGCAAGCAGGAAGGGGTGGTGGCAGATCCTCCCAGGTGAGAGGCAGAGCCCCAGGCTCTCCCTGCTGCCCTCCTGCAGCCCTCCTGCAGGGAGGCTGGGCCTCTGAACGCTGGCGGTTGCCAGAAACCATGGCGGCTACACTGCTACTGAACAACCATCAGGCGAGTTTCAGCATGGAACACGTCACAGGCCTCCACAACTAGGCAAATCCATGGCCCGGCTACACCCATCCCAGAGACACCCGAGTGACTTGTGTCACGCATACCTTCACAGGCATACTTGCTCCATGACTCACCATGGGGCACAGCTACTCGCCAGGTCCAGTCTTAAACACGGCCACCCAACTACCTTCGTCATGCTAGCCACCAGGCCTCACTCCGGAGAAACCCAGCTCCCAGAAGAGCTGCAGCAGGCTCCCGTGAGGACAGCCTGGGCTAGCCTGGGGTCGTGGATGGAAGAATTTCCAGGCGCCTCAGAAGCAAGGCCTGTTTGAAACACGTCATCTCTGCAGCCCTGTGCAGCCCCTTGCAGCAGAGACAGAGGACATGAGGGAGCTCTGGGTGAGAGCCTAGGAGCTCATGTTCTAGTCCCTGCTCTGACATGGCAGATATTTAGGCAGATATTTAACCTCTCTGAATCTATTTCCCCTTTGGAAATCAGCATGCTAGCTCCTAAGTGACAGGATTTTTATGAGAACAAAGTTAATAGTACCTGTGAAGTGAAAAAAAGCCAAGTGCCAGGGATGTGGTAAGTGCCCAGTAAATGGCAGTTATCAACACGATCATCACCACCATCAACACCACCACCGTCACCACCATCACCATCTTAATCAACACCATCATCAGCATTCTCTTGAGCGGGCTCCTGGGACGCACAAGGCCCATGGAAGGGGATTGCGGCAGCAGGATTGGGTAGAGGGGAAAGGACAGCCGTGGAGCCCGGTAAGAGTCTGGGTCCACTTGCTAGAAGGTGCTCAGCTTGTCATTCTGCTGTTTTGCTGGGGCCTCTTTCCCATGGAGTCTCTACAGCCCAGCTCTTGTTAGGGCTGGGACCTCATCTTCTCACTCTGCCTCACACGCAGAGGAGCTGAGGCTGGTGCTCTCCACCAATGAGGAGCTGAGGCTGGTGCTCTCCACCAATGAGGAGCTGAGGCTGGTGCTCTCCACCAATGAGGAGCTGAGGCTGGTGCTCTCCGCCAATGAGGAGCTGAGGCTGGTGCTCTCCGCCAATGAGGAGCTGAGGCCAGTGCTCTCCGCCAATGAGGAGCTGAGGCCGGTGCTCTCCACCAATGAGGAGCTGAGGCTGGTGCTCTCCACCAATGAAGAGCAGAGGGTGATGCTCTCCACCAATGAGGAGCTGAGGCTGGTACTCTCCACCAACGAGGAGTTGAGGGTGATGCTCTCCACCAGTGAGGAGCTGAGGTCAGTGCTCTCCACCAATGAGGAGCTGAGGCAGGTGGTCTCACCCATGGTTCAGCCCCTGGAGTCCCAGGCATCCACTGGGCTTGCTGCTGAGGGCAAAGGGCGTGAGGGAAGCACCTCACACCGCTGGCCCTGGCCCTGGAGCCCCAGAATCCTCCTCACTTTCCCACGAGAGCAGGGCCCCTAGGGGACCATCCCTCATCACTCCCAGAGGTGCTGATCTCCCACCCCCAGGGTCTGAATCATTGTTTTCAAGAGAGGACAGTCACTAGTTAGAGAGGCAAGTCCTTTTCTGTTCCAGCTGAGCTGAGGGCCTCCTGGCTGGAAGAGTGGCCTGTGCCACCATGGAGTCACCAGGAACAGACATGGGCTCTCATTTTGTTCTCCTCATCTGACCACTCAAGAGGTTGTTTATGGGACTAAATGGAGCAAGTGCCCAGCCAGCTAAGTGTGAGACACTCGCCAATAATCTCTCTCCACAGAGCCGAGGAGATGCTGGGAGATCAACCCCAGACTTACACCAAGCAACAGCCCCCCTCCCCTCTGGCCTCTGAGCCTCTCCTATCCCTCCCTCAAACGCACCCAGCTCATTCTGCCTCAGGACATTTGCCCTTGCCCAGAGCCCTCTTTCCCCAGAACTCAGGAGGGCTTCCTCCCCTCCAGCTGGGTGTCTTATAAATGTCATCTCCCAGATGGGCTCCCTGGCCACCATGGTAAGGGGAGGCCTCTGCATCCACTCTGTGTTCACCGTGCACGTCTGTGTTGTTCAGGGAGCGAGGACGCCAGAGGTATCCCCGTAAGTCTCAGAAGCCTAGATAGCTAGGTAGGACCTTGTTCTCCCCCTCCCTGTTCCTTCTCCCCAGTGACCCCCATCCACAGTCAGACCCTGGGAAAACCAGGCAGCAAGTCCTCCACCCCAACTCCCCTGCTTCCCTTTGTCCCTCGCCATGTCTGCAAAATGAGAAACTGCAGCCCAGGCAGCGTTTTCCCTCCCAGCTCAAACAAAAAGATTCCACAGACTTGAACAACTTCTCCTTTCAGCCAATAACCAGCCTGGCCAGCCCATGATTCATCCCAGCAGCCTGGCCCTTCTCCCTCACCCCGAAAGCTCCCCCAGACATACGCCTCCCCCTCCCCTGTCCTGGGAAGGAATACAAGGCTTGGAGAGCCCCTCCTGCCCACCCGCCTGCCACCAGCACTCTAACCCAACCTCAGAATGTCTCCGGCTCTGTCTGGAACAACTTTGGGGGGGGGGAGCGGGGTCCCCCCTGGGACTGGGACCGGAAACGGCAGCAGAAGGCAGGCTGGCAGAAAGTGCTGACACAGCACAGAGCGAGGCTGAGCTCCAGGGCCGCCTCCGCCCAGCCCAGCCCAGCCCTGCACCAGGCAGTGTGGGCACCTGAGGGGGGAGAGGACACAGGGAGGGGAGGGAGACGGGGAGGGAAAGGGAGGAGGGGAGAGAGGAAGAAGAAGGGA